GCGCTGCCATAGCTGTAGCCTAGCATGTGTGGTGTGTGAAGTATGATACTGAGTGTTGCGTGTGGGACATCCAGGGTGATCCAGAGTGCGAACAGTGAGTTGTGTGGGCGCCCAGTCGCCATAGCCAGTTGAAGAGAACTCATATCTGGTTACGATATCTTGAGTATTGTGTGGGCGCATGTCGCCAGTTGCTGTTTCGCTGTTTGCATACATGACAAGTTGAATAATCAGAAGTGTGATTTCACAAATGTGGGAAAAAGCATCAGAGATCTGGTACGAAGTATTGGACAACCAACTACCTCGAGATCCAGTCACAATGCTGTAAGAATCGAAACACCATCTGCCTGGCCAACCTTTTTTTTTTCTTTCCTATTTTGAATTTTCTTTTCTTTGTTTTTTTGTTGAGTCACCTGCACGGCGTATGAAAACGAGTTCGCGAATGGGCACAAAAAACGAGTATCGGCAGTTATCGCACACGCTGAGTCCGAAAAAGCAAAAAAAGTGGCACAACACTTCATAATAAGCACGGATATCATAACTACTGGGGGGGGACGTGGTCTGCAGAAGGCCTGAGTTCAAAAACGGCAAAAAAGAATTACCGCTATTTTGTGTGCTATTTTTGCAGTTTCAAACTATTATCCGCCTGCAGTTGCTGTCGCCCGTTTTTCTGCCCATTTGAAACTCAAACCCTGACACCAGCGCAGTTGTTTCTTTTTTTTCCTGTTAAATGCGACGGCCTTGAGATATCACCATCGAACTGATCCACCTCTGGTAATTCAGAGTTATCATTTATGTTATTGTGTTCATCTGATTGCATCTGGATTCGACCTTGGGTCTGTGTCTCAACAGTTGAGGGGTGTGCCACTGCAGCTAGGCCCCTGGGAAACCTACAACAAACTACTCTCGCAGCATTCTAAGGCTAGCGATCTGGAGTGCGGATGTACAGACACCGTAGCACAGACAGGAGTACATCGGCAGGTAGGTAGATAAGGGCACATCTTATTCCTAGAAACAGACTTCAGAGCCGCATGGGCAAGAACATAGCCAAGGACAGCACAAAGCGTGGACATGGAAGAGAAAATACTAGAGTCATTCCGCAAAGATTGACTAGGAAATGGAAAAATAGCAGAGGTAAGGCAAGGAAGACTGGTCTTTATATCCTGGCACATACTTAGCGGATCAGAAATCATACCAACAGGCAGAAGTCTCCCTCCCAACTCAGCTTATCTGTACGACTATGTAAGATGTAACTATACAGGAAGATGCAAAAGTCAGGAGTTAAGAGGACACACTCCATAGGTATAACCCAGCCAAGCAGGAGACAAGAGCAATGGTTAATCATTCCCCAAGGGAAGCAATCAATGCCATTGGCTCAACTAGCACATTGGGTATAAATTTGCTCTAGATTGTCAAGGTTCTATCAGGAAGCCCAGCAGGCTTAGAGGAGCTACTGAGAGGATCTCCTTACAGAGGTAGCGCAGTGGTAAATCTTTCTCCAAAGGGAAGCAATCAATGCCTTTGTCTCAGGGTCCCTCAGCCATAACGGAAGGAAGTGTTCAGTGAGTCATCAATGTAAGGGACACTGTACCTAGTTTCCAGCACATATAATAAAATTGGAAGAGGTTTTCCAGGCGAAAAAAAAAACTCATGCTGCACCAAAACAACACACCAAGCGCAGAAAATGAACCACGGGCCCCAAGGCCAACCAAAAGAAGGTCACCCGGTCTGGGGGCATCCAGTCTTAGGTTGGGCCCCCCACAGCCCATGTTGAAAGCCCATGAATGCTACAGGATGAGAGGAGATGGGAGGGGAGGTGTAGGGAGGCAGCGGGAGGGGATGGTGTAGAAGGGGCAGGAGGGGAGCGGAAGGGAGAAAACAGGGGCCAGGGGCAAGAGGGGGGGAACAGGGAGAGAGAGGAGGGGATGAGAAGGGAAGCGGAGGAGAGTGGAGGGCTGGGGCCAAGGAGAGGGCATTGGTAAACATAACATTGAACACCATGATGATGCCTGCTGGAGAGAAATGTTACAGGTCACTTCTTGCACAGGTGAAAACAGCGAAGTGCTGCGGCAACATCAACTTGCAACATGCTTTCTGAATCTAAGTTTAATTGTCATTGGCCAAGCTTTTGCCACTTCCGGTATGGGACAGAGAATCACTTCACCTTCCTTGTAGCCACATCACCGAGCCCATGAGTCATTAAAGTCCATCTGAAGTCTTCATTATCAAGAAGAAACTTCATGATAATTGATCCTTCACGCTGCTGTTCCCTTTCCCTTTTCACCATTGCTTCTGTCATGTCACGCATCCCTGGGTACTTCAGGTTTTGCTCATGACTCAACTTAGTGTCATCTTTTCTTGATCCTGAGCAGATGTTGCCTCTCTCCCTGTGGACTTGCTCTACTGCATCTGCCACTCCATCCACATTCATGTAATCCACAATGCTCTCTAAATTCCCTTTGGACCTGTGCATGGGCTGGGAGATCTCGATCAAGACATCATATGAGAACTTCCTGACGTTGACATGGCTGTGCAGCATAAGCTGCACGATCAGCTCACATGCCTCATTTGCTATGGGAATGCTGTTCTTTACTTCATGCTCACCTTCAGCATTTCCTTTCCCACTGTACTGGCCAATAGCTTCGGCCAGCTGTGCCTTTATTACGAAACTAGCTGCAATAATAAATGAACGAACGGTCCCAATATCGGGCAGAACGATTAGTGAAGGCATTGCCTGGCGGACGGTCCATAGAACTTTATCAGGATTCAGCAATTCTGCAGCTGGAACTCCTCTCGAGCTCTTCATATGTACTTCCCTCACCTCAAGTTCATTGGATCTTGACTCAGAGTTGCCGTGCAAGGACTGTGTTGGTTGATTTTCTGGCACAAAACACACACCTGCAGACTGGTTACGCCGTTCCAAGACCTGGGCGATGCACTTGGCACGACGAGCAGAGAGAAGAGCATCATGAGCCTGTTGCACAACTGCGTAGTTGTCAAAGCCAGCTGGGTCTAAATGCCGAACATATGGAAGCACCTGCATCATAAAACAATTTAGCGAGTTCCAAGCCGCACGATTGTCAACAATTGATCTGGGAGACGGGAGATTAACTGCAGTTCATGATTGGTGCAAAGTGGTAGCAGTACCCGATGCTACAGGCCCATAAATGTGACCCCCGTATGAAAAGGGCCCTCTCGGCCTGAACTGAATTTCACGAGTAACACTCCAAAAGACAAGTTCCTGAGGCAAATGGCGCATCCATAAAAAACTGAAGAGTTGTTTTGAATAGTCACAAACAGGTCCTGAACATACTTGCGGCGCATCGAGGTGCGCTGCACCCCGCAAGTGCGCCGCACCACGCACCGCGCACGGGGTGCGGCGCACCCTGAAAATAAGGGGTCGACCAAAAAGAAAAAAAGTTGTCGAGGGGTGTTCTGGGCCCGGGTGGGATGTCGCGTGACGAACCAAAAAAAAACAACAACAACAATTTGAGGCCGCACGGGGCCTCGGAAAAAAAAAAGGGGGGGAGCTGCAGCAAGGTCTCTCCATGATGAGACAAGAGAAACCTACTGCCCTCAGAAGAGGGCGGGCAAATAAGAGGTTGTAAATATATCAGCAGGGTAGATATAAAACATAAAGCTGATAGGGCTCAGACGTAGATGATACTTGAGAATATAAGAGATACTCGGGGTAGGCTGTATAAAGGAGTGCGTAGTAGAGACTGGAGGGTGGTATGAGGGCAAGAGCTGTGAATATTAGATGGTGCCCAGAGGATTTTAATGGGGAAACTGAGGAAGCGTTTAACACGATGAGATGCCCGTGAGATTGCTAGAACAGCCCCCCCGAGCCAGGCCTCCCCTGGGGACCCGTCTGTTGTGTGGCTGGGTGCTGCTAGGAAGCTTCCCGACCAACAGAGGTGTCCCTGGGAAGGCTATGGTATGGGAAGTGGGTTTTGGTTGTAGCAATCCCGCCCTTGAGGGGCGTCTAGGGCCGCAAGGGCAAGGCTTTCCTCTTCTCTTTTAAACCAAACTGTATTTCGTTTTCCAGGCTTGCCGGTGATGAGAAACCGGACTGATGCCCCCCAGAATAGAAGGGGCTGGGTGTTTTTTTTGTATAAAAAAAAAAAAAAAAAAAAAAGAAGTTGGTTTGTTTTTTAAAGTTTCGAATCCGGAGTGCTGCCACTCGCTGCGTAGATGAACCCCGGTAGTCCAGCTTTGTGCCCTTCGCGCCCGCCGTGCGTTGCCCGTTGCCTCCACGTCTCCTGTGCAGCAGCAGCAGTCGAAGGCGTCGTCGTCCAGCCATAGCCAGGGCACTACAGTCTTCGTGAAGGAGCCGAAGAAGCAGCGGGAGGAGCGCAGCTTCAGCTCGTAAAGTTGCCAGGTGGGTAACCACTAGCCCCTCTCTCTCTCCCCTCCTTCCTCTCTCCCTCTCTCCCTCTCTCTCTCCCTCTCTCTCACACACACACACACTAAAAGGGCCTTTACCCGATATAGGCCTCAGGCCTTGTAAAAATAGAGCAGCACAGGCCTTGTAAAAGTAAACCATTGTGAAAAGATATCTTGCCAGGGCTCAGAAACGTGAAAACAGGTCAAAAGTCAAGTTCTCTATCAACAGGCACATCTAAATCTAAGGCAAAGGGCATTGTCAAAAGACTTACCTGTTCACC